CCTATATGTCAATAACCCTTTTAAAATAGATCTTAGAACACAAGATATTCTTAAACAGACTATATAGTTAAGGGAGAAAACATTGCATTCTCAATCTCCTAAAATTTAGGCTCAAATCCATGGTATGCTACCTATTCCTAGCGTTATTGTTTGGCTCTTGTACACTCAATTGTCTAACTCTATTCATCCTCTCTTGCCTGGAATCCATCAAACTACAGATGGTCATGGAAATGAAACTCTGAATGACATCTTCCCATCTTCCACGATCCCTTAGATCGTCCGCCTCCGATGGAGCCCCAATACCCCTTGCTATGTCCCACTTCAGTTGTAAGTTGCTAGAGCAGTCATTGCCCCCATTCCCAACAGCAGCTGGGGTCTCCAAATTGGAATGGGAAATGAAGAGACAGAAGAAAGCTAGGTAGATAGGGGCAGGACCATGGGAAGGGAAAGTAATACCCAAGAACCCAACTATGGGGAGTTACTAAGATACCCCAACTGGGCGGGGAAGGAAAGGTATGCGAGAGAGGCATGAACTTTAAAATGTATGGATATTACTAAGGTAGCATAACCAATCAGGAACTAACAAGCATATATACAAAAAAAGAGCACACTCGAGCTTCCTCTTTCTCTCTTCCCCTGGTGCAGCACACAATGGATACCTGATGTTCCTGTTGCGGGGCTTATGGCCATGTGGGCCTCCATACGTGGACTAATAGACTTTAATTAGCTTGGATGCTGAACTACTCCTGACTGTAACATGAAAAGAAAGCTCTGGACACTGGGCTGCTCCTGAAACCCCAGCTACACCTTTTCCAGGACTGGCTTTTCCCAATAAACTTCAGTTCTGCTAATTGTTTTTGTCTGTCACTTCATTCTTCGTTTTCTCGAGACAACAAACTTGGACTCAACATCCCACATTTTGGTTTCAGTACCTCTGCAGGAGCTGAATTCTCTGTTGGACAACTTAGTTATTACCCTCTCCTCACCTGGCTATCTGCACCCTTCAAAAGTGAGCTCTATGTTGCCTCCTCTGGGAATACTACACCGTTTGCTTAATACTACAACTGTTTGCTATTTTTTCACACCAAATTTAATAATTGGTTAACTGTCTGCTCTCACCAGAGACTCCCACAGCAGGGCTATGTCTTCTTAACTCTTTATTCCCAGTAGTGATGGTCATGTAACAGGGTGCTCAACAAATGTTCAATAAATATAAGAATGGACTCAAGGAGTGAAGTGAGGACAGAAGAGGTGCATGGGACCCACCCACAGAGGTGGCCACAGGAGTGTTTTGTGAGTCATGTACATATGCTTGTGGAGCTTAGTGGACACCTAGGTTTTCCGGACCCTCTTTATAATTGTACAATTTGTGAGGAGAAATGCTATCTGTAAGAAATAGTTTGCAAGATAGCTCTCATTTTTATAAAATCCACACATACCAACAGCAAGGCCAGCTAGAGAAGCTGCACCAAGGCACGACATATCCAGGTGAACAGGTCTGTCTATCTTCTCATTAATCAGGTCTGAAGTCATCTGCATGACAAAACTGTTCTTACAAACTCCGCCATCTGCCCTGTGGGGAGCAAGATATTTGAGATAAAGTACCACAATAAAAGCATAACAACATTTTTAAGAAGAGTCATATTTTTTTAGACCCTTGATTTTACTATTTAATTCCAAAATTATATCACTTAGCACTGACCTGCAGACACGACCTTACTAGGTAATCTTGAAACATTTTCCCTTATTCCTGCTATCAGTTCTTCCACCTGCTCTATTTGTTCAAAACAGACCAAGTGAACTGAGCCAACATACAAATTGATTTGAACATTCTAGCAAAGAAAATTTGATGCTTCTATGCCAAAAGGATAGCCACATGCCAAAAAGTGACTTTAAAGATTTTTATAAATTGGGTGCTAAGATCTTCCCAAATTCCAAAGTGTGTTATATTCTCCATAAATCTCAAATTGACTTTTCATTCCTCGTCAAAACCCCATGTTCAAGAATTTTGTTGCAAAGGATCTAGGTTTAAGTTCTTTTTGAAATATTGAATAACCCTAATGATGGAAATACTCATGGTAGCTACCACTTCCTTCCAATTTCTAATTACATCTATTAGAAACAAAGCATACATACCGGATTTTTGTCACAGGAATATGGATCTCTTTCTGCATCACCTCATATAACTGCTTGTTTCTAGTTAAAAAAATAAGATAACTATGTAGATAAAATTGAAATCATAGTAATTCTCTATTTCTCTAATCTATAAAAATATAAACTATGGTTTTATGTACATGATATATATATATATATAAAATATGCAAAAAGGTATTAAAGAAATATATTCTGCTAACTAGAAATGGGTAACAGATGTTCAAATAAGCAAGAGGCTCAAGGCTTGTGCTTCTCACCTCCATACAAAAGAGCACAATTTTTATTTTCAAACTGAATTTTATCTATAACTGTTCCTACAAATAAAAATACAAAGCAAGCATCCATTTAATAGATAGCTATTTAGATGGCATGCCATAAATTATATCTTACAGAATTAATTAAATATAGACCTAATCCTATATAATAAAAGCCTAATATGCTAAGTGTCTGGTCGTCTAGTAGGCCGTTCAAACAATCAAAGCGTAATATGCTAATGATATGCTAAGGCTGCTCAACTGCTCGCTATGAGGTGCACTGACCACCAAGGGGCAGACAGTCTACCAGTCACTATGACGTGCACTGACCACCAGGGGGCAGATGCTCCGACCGGTAGGTTAGCTTGCTGCTGGGATCCGACTGATCGGGACTGAGCAAGACGGGCCAGACATGCCCTGGAGCCCTCCTGTGTCCCTCCCCAGCCCCAATTGTGCACCGGTGGGTCCCTTGGCCTGGCCTGCACCCTCTCACATCGGACCCTCAGGGATGTCAGAGAGCTGTTTCG